TTGAGATAACAGATGAGACACATGATTTATATTATGCCGAGGTAAACTATTTACTTATGCGTCATGTTTATTGAATACTTTAAATAATTATTGACTTATTATGTAACATTTCCACTAGTTATGCGATAAGCATCCAGATATGCTTAACGCGGATGTTTGGGTTACCATCGGATTTACATACAATACAAACGAACAAAAGTATTGCCTTATAAAAGACTATTCTGAGAATGAATTATGTCTGGCATGTGCACACCGACTAAAGCCCGAGATAAGTGCATTCTGTTATAAGTGTAAAGCACCACGAATTCCTGATTGGACTACGGGTAACAAGTCATTGGATTCAGTTATTAGAACATCATGGAATTTTACAAAGAATTTTGATGATGCTCATATACAATGGATAGAATACTCTCTGTTATCAAATGTACAAGAGGCAACATCATTACATCATGGATGCACACATATGGCAGTGTGGTTAATACCAAGAACAAATGAATTGACAAGAGTGGCACTCAAAAAGATAGTTGACAAACAAAATGATCAGTTTGATTTTCATCAGGTAAATTATTTCAGACATAATAGTAAACAAAGTTTTTTGTGCATTTAAATTGACCAGTTTTGTAACAAATGTATTCATTTACTCAAACATAAACAGCTGACACAGGTATACCAACAATATTAACACCAGATAATATTTGGATCATTGGAATCACTCAGGAACCATCTACTCAGGAATATTATTTGGTTTTCTACTATGATGTACATGAAATATTGGATAAATTTATACAAATACAGAAATCTGTAGCATACTTATCATTTGATGAGTTTGATGATGAATTCAAAGTGATTGGATCTGGTGGTTATGGAACAGTTTACACCACTCAAATTAGAGAAACAACTGTTGTACTCAAACAGTTTAAGAGTTTTGACAAAATGCCAGAATTATTTATTTCTGAGGTAAGTATAATTGGTACTAGTAATATAATTAGGGTGATAATTAATTTGACACTGTATTTTTAATAGTTCAGAAATCATGTCAAGTACATGAACAATCATAGTGGTTGTATTCATGTTTATGGAGTCACGCAAAACCCAAAAACGGAAGAATACATGATGGTTACAGAGTATGCTGACAATGGTAACCTTTTGTTTTATTTGGATCAGAATATTAACAATTTGACATGGAAGAGAAAATTACAGTATTTGAGTAACATTGCATATGCTCTAATGGACTTACATGATACGAGATTAAGGCATTGTAATCTTCATGGCAGGAACATTGTTATACATTGAGAACGTGCCCGCATATGTGATTTCAGTCAATCAACAAATTTATATTCATGTCAGAATAATCCAACCATTCAAGGCAATTTATCTTTTATTGCACCAGAAGTCTTCCAAACTCGCAGATTTACCCATAAGTCAGACATATATTCATTTGGTATCATTATGCACTTGATAGCCACTGGTAAACCACCATTTGGAGATAAGCAGTTTGATGAAAGATTGATACGTGATATTATGGACGGACTACGACCAGCAATGCCCGACTCAGCACCAGAGGAGTACAAGAACCTTGCCAAGCAGTGTTGTGATGCCGATCCTGATAATCGTCCATATGCAGGGGAAATTTGGTTTGGTATTGATAAATTTCATACCCATGATGACAGCACTTGGGATGCCATTTATCATGATGAAGTAAAACCCTTATGACATCTCGAGGAGAATAAATGTTCTAGTAAACTCGTATCTACAAGATGATCAGCAGCAGGGTATGTCATATTTTACATGTTGATGTAAACGGAACTAATTTACCATGTTAACATTTTTTGTTTCTTACAATTTGATGCTCAACCTCTTTTTTATGAAATAAATTGTACACGCACTTTTACCAAGTTAGATCTTGAATATGTAATGATTTCTTTCTGGAATAAATGCGTAATTACATTCGAACTCTGGCCGGATGATGCCTGCCTTCTGAAAATGACCCGCGGGCCGATTTTCTTGCTCAACAGAAACTGATCGAGCAAAGCAGGACCCATGTCTGCTCGAAATCTCACAGCTTGACTAAAAGGCATGAAGGAGGCGGCGAGCATTATTCCAGATTTTAAAACATTAGTTTTCCGCCGCTTATCGATGTATTACGCGAGAAATGAATTATTAAGCTACTTATTCCCTCCCCGAAAGTCTATCTATCCATAAACAATGATGAAATTGTGCAAAATAACATTGATTTGCCATTTCTAAGTCTGGCCGACGTTTATTCTTGAGTTACAATATCACGGACCGAAGAAGCATTCTTTAGTATATCGTCATCTGCTCATAAACTTTTCTAATCTGTATTCTTCGCCTGAACAGAGCTATAATGAGTAACAATTGTAAGAATTTCTAAGCATCGGAACGAACATCTCCCGAATTATTGTTTTCTATACACCATTTTATGTTAACTGGAATTGGCAAATTATGCAAATGTCGGATATCGACAACCAAATAATTTCTGAAATGGATGAATTACACTAACGGAGAGCGTTTTCAGAGCCCAGTCAGTGCGCGCGATATGTTTAATAATAATGTTATGCAAAGATTCTATTCAAAGTTTTCCGCCATCATCGCGTTTGTGTTCTTAACACTTTAGAGAATATAAATATCGTTTATCACAATGTAAAATGGGTTGTTATTCCATAGTTTTGTATAATTACATGTTAACCCTGTTCGATGCATAGTTTACAAAGTTTTGTTAAATACAAAACACAAAAAACACAACAATTGTTATAGAATGGAAAAGTTTTCACATCTTTCTCTCGTAAAGTAAAATGTTTATTATTTTTCGTGAAAAACGGCAGAATCGTTCACTAGAGCAAAAAATATTGTCCTGTTGATGAAGGCATTAACCCAATACACTGTATGTCTACTCTGACACGCTTCGTTATCCGGCTACACATAAGAGTGACGACGTATTATGAGAGACGAGCGTTTTCATTAGCCAACTCGTACGGTAATAACTGTTTATTAGTGTAACAGAGTTAATACATATTAATATAAGTAATAATTTTGATTAGAGGCTGCTCACGACTCGACAGAATAATCGGCCGATATATTTTTGCAGAATCGGCAGAAACCTAGTTCTGCATGACAATCAGTGAGAATATCTGATCTGTAATCTTACAATCAGTGAATTCATGCAAGTCGAATCCAACCATTTGCATTTGAGCCAGTTTTCAGACGGAAAGTAAACTTGCCAACCAACTTAAACTTAAACGAAGATAATTTTTATTGTTACATGTTGATGCAAATGACTGTGTTGACATTGTCTATTTCTTATAATTTAGCGACTCAAACTTCTTTATGTAATTCACTGGTTATTATGAGTCAAGTACTGAAAGAGTATAAATGCAATTACAAATACTAGCCAAGAGGGAAGAATTGGTCATCTAAATCCAAATTTCATTGCAGCCACGCGAACATTCGACGTAATAGTTAATAAGAATCGCAGGCATACATTCCATTCGATGAACGCAACATCAAAATCAACAAATTTACGTCAGGCCCATCTTTGTGACACCCTCAACTTTGTCAAAGAAATTCGTCTTTTCGAGTTGTTGGAATAGATTACAAGAAAGTGCAACCGTAGAAATGCCAGTACGTGTTAATTAATGGTCGTGCATTAGATAGGATCTTTAGTGTCTACACGCATTTTGTTCTCTTTTCTATCGATTTTACAGCGTTCTGACAATTACCACACTACAAATAGGCATATCACTCACAGTTCAACAGTGCAACTAACTATCGCACAGTCGGCAATATGGTCTTGTTACCTATAAAGACAAGAGTGAGGGGTCCAGCGCCTCAGGGTAGGTGTTTGAGGTTAGAGGTAAAAGAGTGAATTTGGAAAGTCTGAAAGCGATGGAGTTGAAATTTTGAAAAGTAAAATATTATTCTATGTTCAATTTGGTACTTTTCTTTTTGGAGTTGATTACTATCATTGGAGTGGGGTTATCATTGTCTCGGTTTATTCTATGAACTATTGTTTATGGTTTATTCTTTTCGTCATGTCGACTTTTGATCTATATCAGACTTTATATCGTTCTGGACTTTTCTTCTTCTCCTGCACATTTAGAGTGAATTTCCCCGGCTCTTTGCCAATTCTGTTACTCTTCTCTTTCCTGTTTCTCTTCCAATTTCCCTCATTTCCCCAATCACTTGTAATACAGCTCCACAAGCTCAAGAGGATATAATCGACGAAGCTCTCGATCTTTTTCGAGCCAACTGCCTATTTCGTAATTTTGAGATCAAAGGCAATGCGGATCGCGTGTTGATTTATTTAATACTCTTTATCTCGGATTGTCTGAACAGATTGACTAAGAATACAAGTCAAAAAGATGCCGTAAAGGTGTTGAATACAAGAGCGTTGGATAATTTTGCGTTGCCGGGTGAACCGCAGTTTCCTTTGAACGCATTATATGCTGCTCCAGCAACTAGAGGAGATAGCGGTAAGGAGGATTGGGGAGTGGGGGACGGGAATAGGAAGCGGAAGTGGGTTGGTGATGAGGATCATTCGGGAAGTGTCAATGAGGATTAGTCGACGAGGATCAATTGGGAAGCGGGATGGTGAATGTATGAGGGAAATGTGGGGAGAATGTTTAGCGATCAGTGAATCGATGCGTCTGTGACGTTACATTCTTCTTTTTTCATCGGTTAATCGCTTATCCGCTCTCATTTTCATTAGATCTTCTTCGTCAGTATCTGTCCCAACTGCGTCAAGAAATGGCTAATCGACTTGTTGAGCGAGTGTATGTTGATGGACACCCCAGCAAGTGGTGGTTGTGCTTTCAGAAAAGAAAGTTTATGAACAAGTCACTTTGAACCGGTTAGATGACGCTAGGTGATAAAGGAGCTAATTGTTTGAAATCTATTTATTTTTGGATGTGTGTAATTTCATAAAATCCTGTTTAGACATGACAAATAAACAGTTATAGTTTAATTGATGTTACACACGTAAGACCTTGATGACGTAATCAATGTTTCTACCTATTACACTGTCATTATTATCATTATTATGGTTTTGTTGACGTAGATCGTCAAAATTGGTAGTGCAATAAAAACCGAATAGAGGAATAACAGGACAATATAACCGAACGAATAACCGACTGAAACACCTTGACGGGAACGTTTAAGACTATTAATAAAACCATGATGTGGCATTATAGCCGTTCTGTAATCCCATTAAGTAGATCATTTACTGCAAAAAACTTAGCCATTATAAAGCGTAATGTCATACAGAATTCTTCAAACATTTTGTTAATTCATTTTTTAGCCCATAACATCGTTTTCTGATTGGATACAACTTACCGCAGTTAACAGGCAAAGTGCACAAGGCAAATCCCGTCCTCGTATTTAGTGTTTTTTCGTCTCATTTTATAAACCCTTTCTATCTAGTCAACACACAACACGGAATAAGCGAATATTACATAGAAACGATATATATAATCTACAAAATTCTTACGAGAAATGTCAAATCAACAAACGTAAGCAAACGGGAAATGGAACGTGAAGAAAAGGAAGCGAGTTTAGGCTTGTGGAATAAAGAAGACAATCAGAGCTGCAATTGATGCTGAATGTCTTTTCCTTTACTGACTCTTTTTTTATTGACACTTTATGACTCTGTGCACCAATGTCCGAACCGAATCTGTTAATAGACGGACAGTAAAACTAACAGGTATACTGGTCTCGGAGTTTTCGATTCCGTGCTATTGTTTGATGCGATTGCAGTAGCAGATGACTGACTGTCTTGGCTTTGCTTTCTCTTCTGTGTCGACTACAGTCATAGCAGCAGATGGCTTATACAAAAGAGACGTGTTTCGTATGTATTGAAAACAAATGGGTGACATTTAACCTTGGTTATAAAATTAGTAATACTCTATATAGACCCCGTTAAGAATGTTATTGTTTTTGTGTCTTTGATGTTTATCTCTTTTTTTTTTTTTTAAATTCCTATCTATATCTTTTACCTGCGTACTGATCAGTATCTCGTAATTTCCCTTTAATAGGATTACCTGATCCCTTTGCCGTAGTAACTGTAGACGGAGAACAAACGCATACTACCAGTGTCACAAGAAAAACTCTGAATCCGTATTGGAATGAAGCCTTCGATGTGTACGTTTGTTGTAAAAGACTAATCGTTGTCAACGCAATTATAGCTTTATGGGTTACCAACATCGATAGTACCCTTTCCCTTCTCCCCCACCCCAAAGATGTGATGACTTTCGTTAACGACATTAGTCTTAAAATGGGTGCACAATAGTTCTAACTCCAAATTATCTTGTCTATTTTCTCTGCTCTCCAGTCAAGTTACAAACCAAAGCGTGATCGCCGTACAAGTATTTGATCAGAGAAAATTCAAAAAGAAGGATCAAGGCTTTCTTGGTGTCATTAATGTGCAGGTTGGGGATGTAATGGATGTTAATGCTGGAGGAGACGGTGAGTATATGTTGATTTATGGTTAAGATGCATGTTGTGTGAACGTATATGTGTACGAGTCTTTGATGAGGACGTTGGACGTAAATTGGGCAAACGCAATGCGATCTTGTTACTGACAGAGAATTCTATTATATTTTTCTCGGAAATACTGAATTTATTCGATATTACGTATTATTACTACTATCGTAATAAAATGTATCGTCTGTTCTCCCATGTGACGACTCCGCCCCCTCAATCTCATTCACAGAAATGTTAACGCGTGACCTAAAAAAATCAAATGCTCATGAAGTAGTACATGGAAAACTTATTATCCACATATCAACAAATTCCAATAATACGCCTGCACAAATCGGCATACCCGGAAACAATCTTCAACCACCCAACCATATACGCAATCAATCTACACCATCTCCAGCAACGCCAGCATCAAATCGTGTAAACAATACACAGCCCAACACTCCCCATCCTCAAATGGTTCCTAATACGTTGACACCACCAACTAATCCAGATAGCAGAATACTAAGTTCGTCAGCACCGAGACCAACTGCACCGGTTACTGTGAATGGCGGCACCTCGGCAAGCAGTGGTGGAACTTCTGCTGCAGCTGCTGCAGCTGCTGCAAATCCAGCGCGAACGTTTGGTGCATTTGAAGATCACTTTGGACCATTACCTCCTGGGTAAGTTTTTCATAAAGGGCTAACAATGGGTCAGAGTTGAGATTATTTAGTAATGCATTTCGAGGGTAATAAACCATGGTTGAACCGTTTGTCTTGGCCGTTTACTACATGCTCATTACTCACATTGTTGTCTTCTTTTTCAACTTGCAGCTGGGAACGTCGTGTTGATCATCTCGGCCGTACTTATTACGTCGACCACAATTCCCGAACAACTACTTGGACCCGTCCGTCATTGAACTCTTCTGCCACTCAACGCCTTCAAGAGCAGCAAAATCTCACCGAGCTTGAACGACGAAGACACAACAACCGAACCTTACCTGAAGAAAGACCTTCAGGGTCTAGTTCACCAATGCCTGGATCAGCAGCTCCTACGTTGACAGAGACTGCAGGGCCGAGCATGTCGAACGGGAATATTGTAACAGTGGTCGCGAATGCGACATCTGCTGGTTTTGGACCGTTGCCGTCTGGATGGGGTGAGTGTAATGAAGGACCTTAAAGCGAAAGGCGATGTGATTAGGAGAAATTGAACAAAGTGTCAAAAAAAAAACGTGTACGACATAGCATACACAACATCAAAACTAATCATTAAACCATTCTTTTTCAGAACAACGTACAACGCCCGAAGGCCGTGCTTATTTCGTTGATCACAACACGCGCACTACCACTTGGGTAGATCCACGACAACGACAACAAATTCGTATGTATGGCGGGCAAAACAACAACAATGTCACGATTCAGCAACCTATTTCACACCTTGGACCATTACCTTCTGGCTGGGAAATGAGGCTTACGAGTACAGCACGAGTGTACTTTGTTGACCATAATACAAAGACGACAACGTGGGATGATCCGAGATTGCCAAGCAGTTTAGAGTAAGCTTTGTTGCTGTTGTTCTATTATGTTTGTTTTAAAGCCGCATTATGAATTCACACATATTCTCTTACATTCTTGCCCTAAAAGTCAAAATGTACCTCAATATAAGCGAGATTTCCGCAGAAAACTAATTTACTTCCGCTCTCAGCCGGCCCTCCGTCCTGCCCCGGGTCAATGCCATATAAAAGTACGACGTAATCATATCTTTGAAGATGCATATTCAGAAATCATGCGACAGAAACCAGAAGATTTGAAAAAGAGGTTGATGATAAAATTTGATGGTGAAGATGGTTTGGATTACGGTGGTTTATCCAGGTAAGAATACAAGAGCATTAGGTTAGGTTGTGTCGCTACATAATAATAATAATAGGCTTGTGGGACACTGTGTTTTCTATGATTATCGAAATGAATTTAATCATTTATTATTCTCGCCACTTACATTCTTTTCGCATACACAGAGAATTCTTCTTCCTTTTATCACACGAAATGTTCAATCCGTTCTATTGCTTGTTTGAATATTCGGCACATGACAATTATACACTTCAAATCAACCCGCATTCTGGTATTAATCCGGAACACTTGAACTATTTCAAATTCATCGGTCGTGTAGTTGGTCTTGCTATATTTCACCGAAGATTCTTGGATGCGTTCTTTATCACATCATTTTATAAGATGATTTTGAAGAAGAAAGTTGGGTTGCAGGATATGGAGAGTGTAGATGCAGATTTTTACAGGAGTCTGACCTGGACTTTGTATGTATTGTTTGTCTTTATTAGAAGGAAAGGGGAGGAGGGATATGTTGTTGTATAGCAATGAATGAAACGGGATATACTAGTGTTTAATCGTGAACTGGGACTGATTATGCTTTTTCGTATTTATAGGGAGAATGATATCACCGATGTTCTTGATTTAACGTTTTCGACTGAAGATGAACGTTTTGGTGAAGTTGTCACAGTTGATCTAAAGCCAGATGGACGTAATATTCCTGTAACAGAAGATAACAAGAAAGAATATGTAGAGTGAGTAACCAGAATACACGTTGTGTTGAACAATGTAGCAGCTTGTATTGTTTCATGCGTTAGTTGATGCAATTAGGCCTGTAACTAATTTCGTATCTCTCTTTTTCCATCCTCCATTCTGTAAATCTCAAGGTTGATTAATGAATGGCGAATTTCCAAACGAGTAGAAGAACAATTTAAAGCCTTCTTGGAAGGATTTAATCAGCTCATACCGCAAGACTTAATATCTGTGTTTGACGAGCGCGAGTTAGAGGTTTGTAAACTGATGGTTGGGGGGAAAATTGGATAATTGGAATGTTGTCGAGAACAGCGGAGGCAAAATAAGGGTTGTTTGGCATTTGGCAAGAAACTATTGATAATGTTCTAACATATTCTCATTTATTTTATAGTTGCTCATTGGTGGAATTGCCGAGATCGATGTAGACGATTGGAAGAAACACACAGACTACCGAGGGTACACGGAATCAGATGAAGTCATACAATGGTTCTGGAAGGTAAGGATAGAACATGAAGCTAATTTGATAATCGATCTGTTTTTCTCCAAGGTTAATCGACCATTTTTCTCTTTTTACATCTAGTGTGTCAAAACATGGGATTCTGAAAAGAAGTCTCGTCTATTACAGTTCACCACAGGCACATCCCGTATTCCAGTCAACGGATTCAAAGATTTACAAGGTAGCGATGGGCCAAGGAGGTTTACGATCGAAAAGGCAGGGGATCTTACGCAGTTGCCCAAGAGTCATACATGGTGAGTGAAACTGATTTAAACTGCAGAGAGGGTATTGGATAAACGAGAGAACCAATCAATTTCCACATATCCATTCATAATGTATAATGTATAATGTATAGTGTATTGACACGCTATCTCTTTCCTTTTTCTAGTTTTAACCGTATTGACTTACCTCCATATAAGAACTATGACACGTAAGTAATACCATTATGTGTGCTCGCTTTGGTCCGGTCCCCCGTTTCACTAATTAATTGCGAAATTCTTTTTCTTTCATTTTGTAGACTGGTGTCTAAATTAACATTAGCCGTAGAAGAAACTGTAGGGTTCGGTCAAGAGTAGACATTAACACCATATGCAACTAGAAATAAGCTTCCATTCTTTTTTGTCTTTTTTTTTCTTTACCTTTTATTTTATTTGTTCTTATTATTGCTTACAGATGATTTGGGAACAACGTAGCAAGAAGGCATTAATTAAACGTATTCAGATAAGCGTTCTGTTCGTTTATCTGATCATTATGGCCATATGTTTTAGCAGGCAGTTTGAATTATTAGTACAATTTTTATTATCTTAATTTTTGTGTTGTCACTTGTGCGATTAGTAGTATTTTTATCATTTTTTGTCATTATAACCCACAAGAACTATTTTACCACGAGACATTTAGAGAATGGAAGTGACAGTAGAGAGAGAAGATTAGCCTACTACCAACGGACTTGCGGATAGTCCGAGATATTTATATTGTTCCTTCCTTTTTTTACTTTAGTATATATTTCATCATCTAAATCAAATTTATTACAACCGAAAGTGTTTAGGAATCTTGTTTCAAATGATCCATACACATATCATCTACTTTGGTGAATGATGTTATTACGAGAGAGTAGAGGGAAGAGGGAAGAGGGATATTACAGAGATAGGCCTGTCTTTTATTCATTCATGGAAGTCTATATATTCTATGCTCTTCCCTTCACAGGCCAATCATAATATAATATTTATGTAATCTCATGTGAATGTTGATATCACGTGATGTATGACAATCTGTTCAATCAATGCATAAACCCAAGTTAGCTACCCAATCTTTTTGTTTCTCCCTGTCTCTCTTTTTTTTTTTTTTCCTTTTCATTTCTTTGTTCCCAGTTTCACAAAATCGATGATTGCTGCACTGTGGCTGTAGAAGCTAACAACAAATTGGGCACAGACACAATTGAGAGGAAGAAGACAACAAACAAGGCAAATGACTAAATACCACCGGGGTACATATAGAGAAGTCTATGTATATTTATTTATAATAGAAAAAGTATCTACAGAGTATGTATGTATCGAGTGAAAAAAAATTCTATTTAACAAAAGAAAAAAAAAGAATCGTCTATGTAAATGAGTGGGAGAAAGAGAATAAGGATATTAACAATGAAACCATCTATAAAGATAAGCTTGGGCTAGTTGACCATATAGACAGTGAGAAAGGAAACAAACACAAAAAATTTTGCAAATAGAAAACCTTGTGCATCAGTGAAACCCGAAGCATGCCTTACGGAAAGCGACAAATCTACGATTTTCTGCCTAATGTCGGAAAGTATGCACATTTATAATAGTGCAAATGACCATGATGTTCAACTCCGCACCATCTTAACAATACACCATTTTTCACCCCTATCCTGTGACCCTCAGGATGTGCGTGCAGAAGGCTGAATGCATCCGGCAGGAATATAATGTGCAGGTACTTGCTTGGGTATATCAAATATAGCATAGAATATGAGCCACGTTAGATTAAATACGGTGAAGAAGAGAGCTTTGATTATAAATGACTCTTTCCGGATTTTGTGACGACATGCTGTTGAAACAAGGGAAAAAGAAAAGAGAATAGACATATTCGGGTGAGCGGGTTTACATGACGCATCGCATGCACCGAAACTGCCTCACACAAAAAGAATTGCCATATACTAACCGAACATGCTGAACCATCCTCCAAAGACGCCTAGAAAAGATCAAGAGATGGAACGGGTAACAATTTGGTTAGCGTACTATATCGAGATGCGTTTCGCCTTTTACCAAAGACTTTGATCATCATCATCATCGTCTTCTCTTCTTCTTCTCCTTCTTATTCTCCTTCGTCTTTTCTCCCTTTCCCTTCACATCAGACTTACCGGTCGTCCATAGCCACCATAACAATTCCCGCTCGGGTGTTCTCCAATTCTGTGATATGGATTGTTGCTTGTCGAACCAGAACACTAGCCATGTTGCAACATTTATGACGAGTATCGGTGGGAAGAGATTCTGCACTCCTATCACAAAAGCGACTTTGATGAAGAAAGAGTGGACGGAGAAGATTACGTATGAGTGATGAGAGGAGAGAGATGATTGGATAGATGTTGGATTACATTCCAACACACAAGTTTCTCACTATAATCATCTCACTATACACTACCTTTAGAGTCGTAACCATATCTTCCGGTGAGAATGTGTAAAAAAGTGGCTGCCTTGAGTGTAGCGTATGCTAGCCAAAGAGTAAGACCGACACGGATAGTGAAGAGAAGACGTGCCATGATATAGAGGTATGTGTTTTGTGCGTGTGTGTTGTGTGTTTATGCTATAATGCGTGCGAGCGAGCGAGAGAGAGAGAGAGCTGAGATAGAGATGCAAATGTAGATGTGATGTGAATAATGACGAATATCTATCGTTGTTTGTTCAGTGTCTGGGGTAGTTTCTTGTGTCTCTAGATCGTTTTTTTTTTTCTTGATTCCCACCGACCAGTTTAAATAGTGAGGAGCGCGGGTTATATGAGAATCAATTTAAATACGTGTAATAATAATAAAATATGTAATGATCATTATGATCAGTTACAAATCAATGTACAATCTGTGCGACATATCAAACAACAAAAAGTCGTAATAAATAAAAAAATCATAACGATAAACGATAATGGTGTATAATCCATTATTGTATTTATTATTTTGTGTCACCAGCCATCAAAATTCTCGCCTGCAACAGAATGCATTCCGACACAGAAATTCTTTTATTGATAAAGAAAAATGACACTTGTAAAGATAACAAAAAAAAGTAACAATGAGGGAAACAATTAAATGCCCAGTCAATAACGCTTGCATATATTCAATGTATACAATTATTTGATTATTAGTGAAACACCCCAACAATTAGCGACTATCAGATGTTTGGGCTAGTTTTAATCCAGTTCACAAGACTTCGTTCCCACAACCCATCCCGGAAACGACATGCATCAAATTGACCAATTCTCTTTTCCCTTAATTTCCCTTAAGTTCAAAGCCACCGGAGAGCGTACCGAATATTTGTAAATAAAGGAATTTGAATTGAATGGGATTAGACGGGGAGGAGATGGGGGGAGGAGAGAGAGTGTTGTGTGTACATAGATGGGTACATGGATGGCAAGTGGCGCATCGTATGATGCAGACTATGTGGCGCATACAAACATTGGTAGCAAAAAAAAAAAAAAAAAAGAGTATAACGAGTATAACGAGTATAACAAGTATAACCTGAACTACAATTACTTATAAGTAACGTATTATGGATAGTAAGACTATCTAAGCAACATCTGTAGTATTACGTAATGTATTACCATATTACCTTCACTAAATCTAACATTAACCATTTAGTGATGACGAAATTCAATTATCAAGTATTATATATCATTATTATAATATATATGTATGTGTGATACATATATACATGTATTTTATATGTATCGGCCATTTTAAAATACCCCGAAATCCGCGAAACAGCTGCGAGCTGCGAGCTGCTGCTCAGCTCCCATAATATGCGATGTGGGGTATTGAGTACGACGACGACGACGATGACGATGAGATGAAACAATGATTCAATGTAAAAGTAGAAATTACTTTACTGGGACAACACATATAAGTAAAAGTCGTGTGATTCGGTCCTTTGAATATATGCACATTTTGGACCTCTCTCCCCCTTGATGCTTTTTCCCTCGTTTATTACTTTCCGGCGGGCGTAATGATTACATATTTACCTCACACCTGTATGTAAGTCCTTGTTGGGCTTGGCCTGCTTGTTTCAAGAAAAGGTAATATTCTCTATTTTCAAATGAACTTTTAATACAGAGGGAGGAGAAATGTGATCATGCAATGACATCATCCCCTATAATAGTAATCACGACATAGTAATCACGACGTATATGAACTACCGCATACGTTTGCTTCTCTTTATCTTTCGTAATTCCCCCTTTTTCAAATTCGATTTTCGTATCAGATCTGTCTAACAAGCCTCCCCGTACATAATCAATTCCTGCACGGCGAGACTTTTTTTTCCTTCTGCATGCCTTGCTTCGTGGGAGACAATGGCAGATGGATAAAACAAGACGACTAAACAGGAAAACAGCACGTTGGTATGAATGTGAGCTACTTACCTTATTAGAATGAACATGTATCTCTTGATTCGTTGTCGAATAAACCTATAGATACATAGACATATCCTTAATTGATTTTCATTGCTGATGTTGTTACGTGCACACAATGAGCACTCTGCGTGATCCGCATATCACTGATAAGCTGTATGCAAAAGCTCATATAAGAATCAAGGAGAGTGTTAAGGGGAAAAGGAGAGGAGGGGAGAGGAGAGCGGTTTGGCTGGGCCGGCTGTAAGCAAATATGCGGAAAAGAAACATAAGCATATGGGTCACAAGCGAAAAGCGTCTTTGTTATTGTTTGCTATGCCGAATTATCCGATCGGATAATAATATTTTCAAATAAACAAATAATTTAGATTTCTCATAATGTATGTATGTATGCATACTTGTTTATATAATTACATTATATCGAATTAAGTTAATCCACACCAGTTTCGTAATCCTATTTCATGGCTGAGGAGCGTACAGTAATGTACTCGCTTAGTCAATAAATGACCATCCTATGGCGTATTATAATAATTAAGTTGGGACAATGAGCAAGAGTGAGAAATGGGCAATGAGTATCAATGGTAGTAAAAAATGGTATGGCAAATGATGTTATTTCATTTAAACAGATGACAAATTACAGATTATCGCAATCCGTAACTTTTTTTCTCACTTGATTAATAAACGTTACTCTTTTTTTGCCGAATCTGTCCTATCTTTTTTCTCTTTCTTCGTTTGGTCAAAGTATTGTTTATTAAACTTCAGACAACTGATTGTTTCACAATTAAAAAAAGCCGGTCTAAGACAAAATAGTCTATAGGTCATATGAACAGTAAACAAGCATCTGTCCTTACACATACACCCCCCCCGTAGCGCACGGGCTATCAGTGGGCTGAGTGGGTACAACCATGGTAAAGTTTTTGATATTCTCGATATGCGACAATCGGCGAATATATTTTGTATAATCTCTTGCATCTCTGCATCTCGAGTATCATCTCTTTTTTTCTGTCCTCACATTCTGTTGTTTGTTACTTGCGTTTGATAGACCACAACCATAACCATAATCATAACTATAATCATACCACAACCATAACCATAACCATATTCGTTACATTCTTATCTGTCGATCGCTATTTGCCAAGACTATCTGCTACTCCTTATTGAGACTACGCGTTCATCGTCATGAAGCATCACAGACTGCTTTGCAACTCGCATTGCTATTTACTTTTTTTTTTTATTCACACCAAAAGGCTTGTATTGTTACAAATTTGGTTATGTGGAAATCATTTCTTTATTGCTCTCGGCGTGCACCTTTAAATCAAACCTTATTCACAAATCTCCATCACAATCAATTATGTTGTGTCCGATGTTCACTTCCCTCAGCATCTGCGTTCAACCAGTCTTTGATAAGAAGCGAGGTTATGGGCTACTCTAGTAATGCCACAAGCCAATAATTCTGAATAACGTCATAGGAAATCGTTTCAGCTATCTCGAGCTATTGCATATAAGCCCGAAAGTGAATTATTTTTAGCAATTAGTATGATAATATGATTATTTAGGTTCGTTTTATGTATATTGTGCTGGCAAGTAATCTTTGGTGCAACACAGTATAGGTTGTATCACTAAAAATATTCCGCTCAGCAAAAAGAATACAAGTCTATTGTCGGGCGTACGATTTCTGGACGATGATATCTCAAAGTTATGGAAACTAGCCTGCCAAAAATCACCGCATTATGGGCTGTTAATATCATTACTTGGAATCCTACTGACGAGGTAAAATTGAGACTTTTCGGATTACAAATATTGGATTGTCGTATGAGCATGATTTTTTTCTACAAATCATTACAGGAATTCGACGATGCATTATCTACCATCTCGGCGTACGAGAGGGAACGAATTTGTCAGTTGAGAATCAAGGAACAAGCAAAAGCGTCACTAATTGGGAGATTACTCTTGCTCTATCTTTTTAACAGTATATACAACATTCAATGGGAAGCAATAAAATTTGAAAGAACCAAGGAGAATAAACCAATACTGGCAAGTAGTGTTCGTCTATTTATCGTATTAGCAGGGCTATCCCGCACATCGAGCTGGTATCTTACGCTTTTATTTTTACTTTCGAATCAGGTTTTCCCAGACATTGGTGTTCGGGTAGACTTTAATGTTTCTCATCATGGTGATTGGGTTGTTCTTGTAGCTTCAGAGAATTGTAGAGTTGGTATAGACGTAATGAAGATCGAAGAACCGTATAATGAGAATATAGAGACATTTCTAGAAAGTCTTCGAGAACAGGTAATTAAGAAAATAATTGAATAGGATGGATGCTGTTATTGATAATTATGTCGAAATTATTAAGATTTTGGTCTTGTTCTGTAGCTATCAAAGACTGAATGGGACGCAATTTCTGCTCCAGATTACCCCATCTTAAAGTTACATCGTTTTTACAGATATTGGTGCTTGAAAGAAAGTTACATTAAAGCTATTGGTGTTGGCTTGGCCATGAGTTTAAAGAAGCTTGACTTTCATATTGACGAAAGTGAGGGACATGAATATGGAGCATGTAATGTAAGTCATTAAAGCCAATCTAAATATTTTCTCACTCACCCAGAAATACTAAAGACGTTGAATCAAATTTATAGCCTGTAAAGACGAAAACACGGCTTTTTGTTTGTGGCACTTTCATGGCAGAATGGCATTTCCGAGAACTATATTTGGATGAATTGCACTGTATTGCTATAGCCTATGAGACGAACAACGATTGTATAAATCATAGGGAATTTGATTCTGCTACAATTATTAATATAAAAGATGTATTAAAAAAAGCAGTAAAAGTATGCTAATTTGTAATATTATAGTGTATTTTATTTGCATGTACTAGTATAGTAGGAAAGTATGATATTCATATAATACAGATTAGAATTTTTTTATTTAATTAATAAATGAATTATGTCAAAAAGATATTTGTTGTTAGTAATTATCTTTCATTGTCATCCTGAACCATTGTCAGTTGTTACTTAGTATTAGATACAATGTATTAAGACATTTCCCAATTATGACAATTAGGAAAAAGAAAGCAAATTATTTGTAAGAAGAGCAATAAAAAAGCTCGCCAATAGAATTGGAAACAACTTGGTTATAAGAAATAGTCAACCTAATCAAACAAGAAAAAAAAACTCCCAAAAAGAGAGACATTAAATATGCTTAGCATAATACAAACGCTTATTTAATGTTTCAACATCAACTCACTAATAGGAAGCTGATACATTGTTTTTTTATGATATAAATTACTACTACATCAATATCAAATACCAGTACTTTATTTATTATTATGAATATTGATATTGGTGATACAAATCCATTCATAATACTGATAATAATAACAAAAAATAATACACATAATAATAGCACTTTACTAAGACTAAAATTAGGGGGTTTTGTTTATTATTACTTTGTCACCTTCCTCCTTCATCATTATCATGAGAAGTTTATTGACTATTACTATAATGTTTTTATTTAACTATTATACTATTATTAGATCTCCCTTCCTGTTCATATTGCTTTCTAACTGTAACCTCCACCTACAAGTAAAATGCTTATTAATATTTTATACACTAACACAGCATTTTTTCTATACCTAATGCACCTACACCTTTGGTTTATTATTTCCTTTATTACTTGATATTTATAATTATAATTACAATACTCTCTTTCTAAACCAATTCTGATTTTAATTGATTTATTATCTAAAACTAAATTATTTTCTCTCTCCCTCTTGAACAATTTTTAAACTATTCCATGTCAAATTTACCACCAAGAGTTAAGACGACCCACTTCATTCTTTCAGTAGCTTTGTAGATAGCATTTGTTTTCTCATGCACTAGTGCGAGGTTGTAATAATAAGAGATGCCATAACATAAGTCTCAGAAATTGGATTAAACTTATTGTTTTAGTTGAATCTTGTAGTAGTAGTTAGATTGCTTGTACCTACCAGCTATCAAGAATCAACATTGACAAAATTTGGACTGAGTATGAGGGCAAAAATGTATGACTGTAAGCAAACATGATGTATGGGAGGTTGACTGCATACTGGCACTAAAATAGGAATAATATTAAACACAATAATAATAAGGAAGTGATCTAGTTAGAATGCTGAGAATTTGGTATTTATTTATATTTAGTCTTTCTTGACAAAAATAGAAAATTTCTATGCAATTCCCCCACAGTTATTATACATTTACGTGTTAGTCACATCACATAATTTTATGACTCAGAAAGAATGTTAAAAAAGATTTAAGTTTACAGATCAGAACAAATAAGGCCCTAATACTATAATAATTAGTTAAGGAAGATCTCTAGTACTGCCATGGCATGGCAAATGCAATAATACAATGTTGCATAGTAAAGGCAATAGCTTTTTCCAATTACAATGTCTTTACAATATCAGCAAATTCAGTTATTTTACAAAACTGTTTTAGTATTAGATTGGGATCATAATATTTCACACACCTACTATAATAATAATATATAAGTCACATGTCTATTACTATCAACTATTCCTTAATCCACATAGTTAAAATCACTGTTTGATCATCCCTGACAGTGTGACTTATGGGAGATTGACAGTATTAGCTGAGATGTCTCTCATAAAGTTACTGATCTTTACCTTATAATAAATTCCTCTCTTCAGAATAATCACATAATAATAATTCAATAATATTTTTTTAAAACTAGCATAAATAAGCATGCAAACATAGCTTGGAAATAAAGTTGTAACTCTGTCATATAAACTGAGACTCAAATTTTCTAAGCCAAATTTTCTGCACCTGTCCAGTTAGTCTTTCTTCATATTAAAATAGTCTCTTCTGGTTTGTTGTCAAATAAATCTTCCGAGTTGGAAGCACTTCTCAAACCATCATCAACTTCTACATTACAAAAGCAGTGATTTAGAAAATAATGGAGTTGGTTGAAAGATTTTGAATAATATGATTGAGAGTAATGAAGAATATGCAAATCGAATTACAGTTCTAATATATCAGAAACAACTAAGCATTATACATCAGTTAGTGAAGTTGAAAAGCAATGGCGTGGCGCGCGTAGCTTGGATCATTTAGAAGTGCGCATGTGAAAAAAAATCCTAGTTTAACATTACTTATTACTATAAGAGTCACTTTCTCAGAGATTAGTATTAGAGTAGATTTTCATTCTTTTTTTCGACATAAACATGGCTTTCATGTTAATATTATGGACAAACACATTCTGTGGGAGCTAAGGAAGATGCTTAGTAAAAAGTAGCAGCTCCAATATATCATATATTAATATGGGCATACAAGTAACATAGCCAGAGAATTCTTTTAGAAAACATGGCTTAATATTAACTATTATGACTGCCTCTAAGCTTATAGGTCATCATTCAAAGACCATCAAGAATGATAACCAAAAAATATTGCAGAATTAAATCCATTTATGATACATAATATAAAAATTTCCACAAAATAATTTAATTTGATCAATTGTCAGCTTACTGTTTATAATAATAATAATGGTGAATGGATACTTAAATTTAAACTAGCTTCAGCTTTCAAATGAGTATTTACTCATCTAATATAACACAGCTGTGTCTGAAGATCTTTGTAACGAGTTCTGTATTAGTATATGCTAATGAAACCTCTACTCATGATAGACATTCATTTATCATAACCATAAGCTCACATGATCTGCAAACTCAAATAAATTTAATTGAAACTTGTCTCATGTTACAATATTATATAGTAAGTTGAAAATCTTATTATTATTAGTAGAGTTCCATAGTTTGGAGATTTAGTTACTAACAGTTATGCTTATATTTCAATAAACTCTCTTTCATTATTCATGTTAAATCAGCCATACATTGTAATTAAAGTCTATCTAAAATTGTAGGGGAAAAAAATCATTGATATTGAATAGTTCTTTTTCTCATCAGAATTAATGTAAAAAAAATAATAACGGAAAGCAATTTTGATGGACGGGAATACTACAACGGAATAATTCACGTGATAACATTGCGTTCTACTAACGGAGTAATGTGATAGAAGACCATCAGTCGGAATTAACGTTTACCAAAGAATAATTTACAATACATATAAAAATATCAACTACATTTGTCACAGAACGATTAGAAACAAAAACAAACAAACCTATGACTATTCAGCAGCAATGTTCCGGTATGCCAGTATTAATGCATCACGCTTAATGTCCTATCGGTTCAGAAAATCACCACATACCATCACTCGTTAGCACCGCAAAGTATTCCCATACAAGCTCATACTTTCTTGTGTTCTTTCTTTCGTCCAACCCTTACTTTCCTTTTAGCCGATCTCGTAGTTACGCCGGTCGAGACGGTCGCGTTTCTGTTAACTTCCTCCTTCCTGTCCAAGAGCGCTAACGGATTACTCTCATAAATTTCATATATGATACACTTGCCATATACGGCTCCATTGTCTTTCACTTTATCTGGCGATCGCATCGGATGTGGATTTTTCCTTCTTCTGGTAACGACAGTTTCATCACCCACAATAGTTGCCACGCTTGCAGGCGATGACGGTACTGATTCGGCATTTATGTCAGTTGGTGTATCGGTCGGCGTGATCTTTGGTGTTACTATGGTAGTGGTGATTGTCGGTGTACTTTTCATGACCCGTGAAGATTTGGTGGTGTGGACTTTCGATTTTAGTGCTTCGGTCGGGTGCGCATCGAATTTAGGTCTATTGTAACCTAAAGAAATGTATGTTTGGGGATGGTACACAAAAGCGATTTTGAGTTTTTTTTCTTTTTTTAGAGAAAGAGGGGGAGCGGTTGCTATAAAAAACGTAGCAGGCGGGTTTGGGAACTTGAAGAAGTTTGAACAGAGACGGTTTTCATTATGTTGTAAAGGTATCTAACTTGTCTACAAAGGACCGACAGCCCGTCGGTCTGAAAAGTTATAATAAATATCTTAGCTTGTGGACGTAGACTACCTACAATAAATTTTACTCTATCTACAACTATTTGGTGTTCCAACTATCTATTGCTTGTTAAATACTGTAACTACTACATCTGAACGTAGAGACTTTACACTGTCTTGCCTTCCTCACTGCTATGACAGCATACGAGGCCGTCAGATTAGCCTCGGGCAGTTCATAGGACGCAGCGCTAACTTGGGTCGTCTGAGAACCTGCCACTCGCCATATAACGAGCGCTCTTTAACTAACCTTTCAAAGTCGTCCGTATCCCGGGTTCATGCATATTTTTATCTTTCAGTATGTTCTCGTTTATTCTAACTAGATAATCACGTTTTCAACGATATGTAGCAACGACGCAAGGGTAAAGCGATATAAAATGAAGTTTGTGGGAGTAGAGATAAAGTGTGTTTTTCGATGCGAAATACAGGGAAAAACTGTAAAATGATAAAGGGTTAATGCAATAAAAAATGTAACTGGATAAATTTTCTGGGGTTTCACACACCAAGGAAAAAAGATAAGCAGGGCCTCTCAAATTGTATGCAAGAACTCGTTGCACAGATTTTTTGCCGAAGGTCTTTTATGGGTTTGATTTGCTCGATATTAGGTTAGAGAGAACGCAGGGCGGCTAAATGTGTTGAATAAATCGAAAAGAAAGGGCAAAATAAAAAAGAACCAATACGTAGGTGCCAATAAAGACGAAGAGATTTGCGCAAGAGAATTTTTTAGATGACTGATGAGAATGATTGCGATTTGGATGCCGACATATAATCTAATCAGTTGTATCATCGGGTACACGTCAGAAACTGTTAATCTATGAAAGAAGTAAACGAAGTTATCTTTAGTTGACACATGCTTGCTTATAA